TCTTTTTGTTTCTACGGCACTTTTTGCAGGCGAACGTCTGCCCAAATATTTAAAAAAAGTGCTTCAATTGCATTTTGCACAATTTTCGTTACTTCGCAAAAAAGCACTTTTCTTCCTTAAAATCCTTGTAAAAGTTTGGTGAAATTTGAAGGGAAATTTATATTAATTTGCTCACTAAGATTTGTTCCAAGTCCATTTAGCCTTTTTCCAGTTCCTTTTCAACTCATTTGCCGAAAATTGCAAAATACTCTTCTAAGCCTTTAGGTAAAATTTTGAGTTTATTTTAAGTACAGATTTCCAACTAAATAGAAAAGTAAAACGTTATTGATTGCCTGTAAACCATTGAACTTTGCTCGATAGTTCATAAAAGTTTAAAGTTGATTGTGCCTTTGGGCAATCTGCAAAATGTGCTTTTCTACTTTCGACATTCATTGCCAAACGCTGTGAAGTGCTTGAAAGGTGTTTCAGAGAAACTCTATAAAACTTGCGAGTTTTAGTGCGCCAAATTAAATTTTCTCCTGTTTTATATGCGAATTGTTTCGAATCTGTACAGCTAGCCGTAAAAGTAAAACCACTTCATTGGTGCATTCGCTACTTGTAAATGCGTCAATGTTCGTTTAAAACCGAGATCTTCTCGATAGAATACAGCTTCTAGCCGAACAAAAAATGGAAAGATGTTGAATTTTGCACGATTTCTTGTGGAGTAGACCCTTGTTCTCCAGAGCGCCATCGAAAGCGCCACTTAAAAAAGTCGCAACTTTAGAGCGAAAAGCGAAACAAGCAACTTTGTCGCCCTATAATTCGTTTCGGGTCCCAAAACGTCTTCCTTTCAGCTTCTTATAGTTGCGGTCGGGGACCGAGTTTTAAAAGGGCAGACAGTTCGGAGAAAACCTTTTAAAAGTATGTGTGAAGAAAATGAAAATTGCCAGAGTTTTCTAAGTGCCGAATCCTTGCTAGGCAAACATAGGAATTGACCTGAAAGCATCTGAAATTCACTTTCGTATCAATACAGAATAGTTATTTGATTCAACTCATGCGTCTTCAAACTGCGTTGGTTGAGATCGGCCCTGACTCGATTGCTAAAACGCAACCTTTGCATAAACCGAATAGCTTATTGGATTACAAAATCCTTATTTAACCAATTATTCGAGGCACAACTTCCTTTTATCCACGTCTTTCCCCAGGGATCAGATTAAGTTTTAATAAAATTAGCTCGACATGGAAGGGCTTAACTTGATCATCATTTTGAAATGAGTGGAAATTGTGGGTACTTTCAGTGCCGCATGGAAAAATCTATTGAAGAGCATTTGCGTACTTATCGAGTTAAAACTGGCTTTCAGATTAGGTCGAGTTGGGATTTGGCCAATTTCTCAACGGTGATGTAGTTGAGTGGATAAATGAGATGCTCGGAAACTATTAGATGAGTCTAGAGGATTAAATTGATGACTGACTAACTGTGCTTCAAGGTTTGGCGCTTCAGTGAAGATAAATAAGAAAACGCGTTCAAATCGTCCAATCTGAGAAAAACAACAAAAAAGAGACTAAGGACAATTTTTATTGAACATTTTGAAACCCTTAAAAGGTAGAAATGAAGAAATATTTTCGATTAAGTTTGAATTCACATCAGCGGTTATGACCCATATATACCAAACCGTTGAGGGGAAAATACAAAATTTCCTGCAAGATTTACCATTGTAAACGAATCTGATTTATGGCCGACATAAATATCCTATCATTCGGCCCCTTTTCATATTCCTCCTGACTGGCTGCATTTACTCCTATACATTACTGTTAGCATAGGGACTCTATATCATGCCAATTTACTTTATTTGGCCAATTTTCCTCGGGATCCAGACAGTGAGCTGTTAAGGACCGAAGTTACGTTACGTTAAATCTGCGGCATAATTTGACTGAACATAAAGCCCTTTTACGTTCGAAATCCTCCGGGAAGTTTACCTTTTTTATAGTATTTGCTGCATGGAATACAGAAGATATAAAGACACTTGGTTGATTTTTCATTATGGATGTTCAGATGATTGCAGAATGATTAAATATTTTTCTCCGTTGATGAAATAGACTAGAACGCTGTGGAAGTTCTAAGCAAACATGTGCAATTTTTTCAAGCACAGTTAATTTTTTTCCCAAGAAAAATACGCTTGCGGGTGCCAACCGCCAATATCCAGAGTTATTTTAGTCTTAAATGCGTACTGGCAGAGGATTTTCCATTTGCTTGCAAGCTTCCGACCCAATTTCCATAGTTCTAGAACAGTCGAACGCAAATAGACTATTGTTACACACGTAGAGCGATGTAAAGCTTTCATACGGCGATATCAACAATATTCATCATTTCACGTCCAACACGTGGAATTCGTCTCAATTCAAGATGAATTCAAGTAACTAAATTCGCCAAAGTAAACACGGTTTCAAATGTTTTTTGAGTTTTCTGCAAATTCAGACGGAAATCATTCAATTGTTCGTTACATCGAGCCCAAGTCGTTAATCGGTCGGAAATCGAATCGAAGTTCGCCAGAAAGAGCATAAATTAACAAAAAAATCACCAGACCCGGATTTGTATGTACAACTAACATATAATAGCAATTAAAATATAAAATACTTAAACATACACTGGGCAGAAACGGGCCAGAATCCTCCACTAAATGGGCAAAAACCTCTAAAACTCCTGATTGTTTTCAACGGTTTTTATAATAAATTAATTGCGTTATTAATGGTCTGATCGACATCGACATTAAACACATTCAATGAGGAAATATTGGTTTTCAAATTAGCTGCTCTGCCAGAGCGCTGATATGAAAATATCCAGCTGTAAATTGAGTTCCAAGATGTGGACAGCTTGTTTGCTTTACATTAGCGGTTTAAGCAAATTTGGCATATAAAAAGTTGTGGCACTGAACGTTTCGATACTTTGCAAGGGGGGCATCTTCAAGGGCTACTCCCCTAAACGTTGCCGCTTTGATTAATCAAACTGCAATTGTTTTAACAAAAAGTCAATGTTGTTAATTAATCTTCCATTAAACGTATTAAAATATCGCGTTTATACCATACTGTTTTTACTTAATTGCTTCGCTATTAACAGGCTATTACAACAGTAAGTACTTATTTACTTAATTAGCAGTTTAGCGGCTACAAGCCATTTTTTTTCAAGCGTAAATGAACAGAGAAACGAGCAAAAAAAATGGTCAAATCTGACGAGTTTCTTCAACTAAAAGATCATTGTGTTGATTCGCATTTTTTTCACTCTTTCAGTACACTTCGGCTCTTTATAGGCAACTCGAAGTGCTTGAAAAAGAGCGTATAAATAGACCGACAACAAATAGCTTTCTGCCGTCTAAAAATAAGACAAACACGCAGACAAAATATCATCACAGCACTCCGTTCTGTTGTACTTAATTAATAAAAACCTCCTATTTTTTATAAATATTTTATTTTTGAAATACTTATGGAGTTTTGTCTGCGTACTGTCTTACGTAGGTCGGTAAGTTCAGGGATTTTTCAAGCAAATATCAAAAGTCAACCTCAATGACCTTTCGGAATTATATTCTTTATACTTACTGTCTTATTTATTTAATAACAAAGCATTTAATTTTAAAAAGAGGAAAAATAATTTTAATTGTTGACAGTTGTTAACTGTAAATGTCGGAACAATTAATCTTAAGAAATCTCGCTCAATGCCTTTAGAATTAATAACAAACTGACTTATGCAAAAATCTATATTTTGAAGTTTTGTCTTCGCCTGAAAAAATCTCTGATAATTTTTGAATATCGTTTAGTTCACATGGCAATTAGACCAGAAAATACTACGATTTTCAATCAATTGTGTAAAAAATTGTGTAATTAGAAAACATACAATTGACGCTAAAATCGAATAAATAAAATGCGACAAATGCAACGTAGTGGTTCAATTGTGATTAATACCGTTTTTCTGTAATATTTCGTCAAATTTTGGGTCCTATGAAGCCTCACTTGTAAACCTATTCAATCTATTGTAAATATTAAGACGCAATTGAAGAATGACAATTTTTTCTGCCCTGCTCTAATATAAAAAATGTTCTCCTAATTCTGAAAAATATTAACTTTAATAATAACGAGTTTCTTAAAATTTACAATATAGAAACGGAAACAATAAAATAAACAGACGGCAGACAAGAAGCTGCATGACGGGGCGTAAATAAAACGCACGCTTAGCTTTAAAAGTCCAAACAAATCTTCCTCTGCAATTTTTAGTCAAGTGTTTTTCTGAATTGTTTGCTCCGTTTATCAGTTTTTTAGGCGATCTTCCTCTGTCATCCTTATTTAGTTCAGCGCTTTGCTAAATTTTGTGGATTATTTAGCAATTTCAGAGCATCAATGCTGTTGCTTCTCTCAATTTCTTCAGGGCGACAATTAGTTTGTCCGTCCTGTGCCATCTTTAGTTAAGTTTCGAAGCAAAGAATTGCTCTGCTTAGCGATTCTTTGGAACTTCAGTCTTTTTTCTTCTGGATTCGGACTGCTTTCCAGTTGTTTTTTTGTGTATGTTTGCGGTTGTTTTGAGCAATTTGTTTTCAACTTGAGTGCAATTTTTCTTTTAAAAAATCTCCACTACAAACCCAGGGAAAGATGGGTTGCAATTTGTAGGTTTTCATTAGGAAATAACCTCCAGATGTTAAAGCCAAGCAGTAATTTAAAGTTGTTTGACATGAAAAACAACTAGTGCGATAAAAATTTTATCGATTCCATTGGCAAACGGTAATTTAAAACAAATTTATTGAGGATAAATAAATAAGCTCGGGATATTGGTCGAACATCTATCTATCTAACGAATGCTCGTCCAATTGAGTTTCCCAGCTATGTTTTCGCTGAAATAATAATATTATCTATGAGGCATTTTATTATTGGGTTAGTGGAACAATGGCGCATGAAAGGTAAACCGCTTGGGATTCAATTAAGGTTACCAATTTTAGAAATTGTCACGCTAACCCGTTGTTTTTCCCCGCTGGTTATTTACTGGTTAATTAGAGTTAAAGCGAGCGGTACCTACCAGCGAATAACAGTAATTTGGCACACTTATTCCTTCCTTGTAGAGCCGCCTTCATCAGAGGGGTGAATCCTAAATTGTTTCGGGCGTCAATTTCCACACCTCGACATCGGCTTGCCAGGCAGTTTAAACATTCCACTTGCCCTTCAAAATGCAAAAAATTCTAATCAGTTTTTCCCCCCAAAAAATGCTTTTGCTTACCAGCTTGGGCAGCGAAATGCAACGGGGTGTTGCCCTCATTGTCCGGCTTATTTGGATCCAAACCGGGCACTTGAAGCATCAGTTCTAGCAAGTCAATCGTTCCATTTGAGGCCACGTAGCTTAATATTGTCTGGAAAGAGCAGCAAATTAATATTTGTGTAACTGTACTTTGCTCAATAATAATAATAATTGGTGAAGGTAAAAAATGCAGTAGAGGATCAGCCTGTTCAGGATGCTCAGGGAGGCTCTGAAGACGATTTTCTTGGTTTGCTGCTAGAAACATAATTTTCCCAGAAAAGCGACTGATATTGTCTGACATTATTAATAAAACTTCCTAATTAATCAGGTGATTCAATGTGGCTGAAAATAATCGTATCAATATGCCTTTATTGGTTTAGCGTATTTGGAGAGCTTAAATAGAAAAGTTTCATCATTTAATCGAGTTTTGACGTCAGTGCAAGCCTCTTTTCATTATCTTCCAATAATACAAAACGCGCCAGACGAACACATTGAACCGCGTTTTGTTCACGCAAATTATGAATAGTTAACCAACCAGGCTGAAATATTGATAAAGAAAAAGGATTGTTAACATTGAATGGGGAAAAAATCATTTGCCGGCCTCTTTTTGAACCGCGACAGGATGGAAAGTAATAAAATAGCAGATGAAAGGGTTTCGTTACACAGAGGCCTGAAACCCAATTTTGTCAGGATTCTTTTCCGATTTTAACGGCTGGCACAAGAGTAACAGGATTGAATATCCGTGGTAAAGTACATGGAGGACTAGAGGTAGAGAGGTTTTTTTGGGGCCCAAACTAAATATATTAGAAGCTTCCTTTGGTTCTACATGGCTTAGTTAGGAATAATTTTCGGTTCATTTCTATGTGTTTCAATGCTTTCTCAATAAGTTGCGTCGCCTTTTTCGTTTTCCCGTTCCATATCCTGATTTCATTCCTCCCTAAAGTCCAGTGATTCTTCCGACACCATTAATGTTTTTTGTGTCTCTTACGGCAAGAGGAATAAAATCAACAGAATGAGATGTCAATCAATCAACAAATGATTGAGGAAGCATTGAAAAAAAATATTTCAATGCTTCCTCAAGCATTTGCGTCGTTTACCGTTCTTTATCCTTTGTTGATTTCATTCCTCCCTAAAGTCCAGTGATTCCTCCGACATCATTGATGTTTTTTGTGCCTGTTACTCCATGTTGTGCTGATATCGTGGCCAGTTTTTGACGAAATTTATTTCAATTTTTTGAATTGAATTGTTGTCTTTGTTTCTATTTTTGTTGCTTTGAAGAATTCAACTGGCATTTGAAACCCGGAAATTATGCACGATAAGACGGTTGTTTAGCATGTCAAACAGGCCGCAGAAAAAAAGCGTGCCATCAAACAAACAATTCTGTTTCTTTCACATTTAAACTGTTTTTCCCATCGTTAATCGATAGGGGCCATGTACCGAGAGACAATATTATTTAGGTCAGCAGTGGAATAATTGATTCAAGCGACCGGCATAGATTAATCCGACCTATTAACTGGCCAGTCCAGACGGGCGAATGGAAATGTTGGACATTTATCGGGAAAAACTCCTATTTTTGGGCATGTTTTTTTAAACAGCCGCTCTTTTCTAGGTGAAATAAATCAAACCAGTAGGGGCCATCAAATATTAACTGCTGCATCCGGAGGGCCGGAGCCTTGCCATGCAGATTTGTTTGCTTTTAAAATCGTCAGTCACCTGGATTCGGGAATTAGCGCAGCTCAGCTCAGCTGCTCAAGGGTCAGCTGCGTCGAATTGTACTGGAATCGAGGCGGATTTTTACGAAACTTGTCCTAGCATGTACAAGCTATTTAGTTCTGGAATATTCAAGGCTTTTTGCATAATTCATTGGTTAGTTTTCCATTACATTCTTGTTTTCCTTCAGACTCAGATTGTACATATCTGGGCGTCCGTCTTAGTTGACATGATGCCTTGGTCATTTTTGCAAGATTTATTTCAATGCTTCCTCAACGTTTTACGTCGTTTTATTTGTTTTTCCGTTACTTACTTTTTCATTGATTTCACTCTCTTCATGTTCTGATATCTTGGTCAATTTTTTGCCAAATTTGCTTCAATGCCTCCTCAACAACCTAAAGTCCAGTGTTTCTTCTGTTGTTCATTGACGCTTCTTGTGTCTGTTCCTCCATATTCTTCCTCTATTCTCTTAGCGTCTTTTTCCTTGTTTTTCCGGGCTTTTTCGCTTTTGGGCAAATTTCAATTAGTCTTTAAACAATATTAAAGTAAACATTTTAATTTAAGACTTAAAACAGTTAAATGTCGTTAAAAGTCGAATTTATTACTTAGATTTTTGTGAATATCTTTGTTCTTAATAAGATTTATAATTGTTCCGACGTTTTCTTACTCAACAGATAGCAATTAGAAATGTGAAAATGGTTCTAAAGAGATTTCTACTTTAGGCGCCTGAACGACGATTATGGACGTAACTTTGCGAGTTTAGTTATGAAGAATAAATTGGTCTTTTTTTATTAAAATATCCCTCTAATTATTGACTCAGCGTTAAAATATGTTATGAAATTAAAACGCAAACAAAACATTAAAAAACTCCCACAAAAAACTGATTCAGGAATTTGCCACAATGTACTTGATTAGCACCAATAAGTAATTTGTTTGTGAAAAAATATCTAATGGGGCAAACGTTCTTCAATTATTAATTGATAAAGATGCAATATAAAAACCAAAATTTTTGGAAACATCGAGATAATTTAAAACCTGATCAAAACGGTTTTAATTTTTAACTTTTTGCTTTGCAGAAGAATTAATTTATTTGTAATAAACCAGAGAAAGAGTGCTCGAGAGTTGAAGGTGCACCTTCTAAAGCTGATAACTTCGCGAAATAAACTCAATAATTCCCATGTTTCAGCTTAAAAAAATGTTTTATACAATCTCTATTCACTTAGCGATAATACATAAAATATGAGTAAACAATCGAGTGAAGATTCCCGCTCGGAATATCGCTTTGATAAAATCTAAACGAATGGCAAAGTTCACGCTTCCAAAGATAAAGTCGTTACCCCTAGGAAAGGTTGGCATACATTATCGGGAATTATCGATCTGGAAGACATGCTTCAACTCTAATGAAGTGCCATTGAGTGTATCTCCACCGCGTTCCATATCCGAAGAGTTTGGTCTAATTTCCCCCTGCATAGCTAATGGAAAATGGCAAATTTTCAGCCAATCGTATCGTTTATCTTCCCGAATATGCACTGCATAAAGCATAAATACGTTACATCATTCATTTGTTCCAGCTGGAATAACGCGTCAGAACTGGAAACTCCATCATGTCTGGATCAGCTTCGCAGCTAACGCGAAGATAAAGCTGAGAATTTATGAGGCAAAGCGGTAATTAATTTACTTCCAGGTAAGTCGATTTAGTGTCAATTCGGAACGTGCAACGTTCATTTTATATTCAATTCGACCTTTCGAGAAACACATTCGGTTAACAATTTACGGTGTTTTGTCACATTACTCGCCATCTTAAGTCGGGGCTTTCTAGCTGAAGAATGATTGCGCCGCAGGACTTCGTCTCCTAAATGCGATTAATTGAATCCTTAATTGCAATTAATTTACCTTTAGTCAAGTGGAAACCGGGTTCCACCTGACGTTTCGATCACAGTTGCCACAAACGTCCACAAAAGCGTTGGCGGTGATATTTGTGGCACTTTAATAGTAATGTTTGACAATAACTACAAAGTAAGAATGTGAAACAAACCTTTAATCGACACATACAACAAAAACACAGTGAGTTTGATGAACAGCAGGAAGCCACATTTTACGAAACATTTAATAAAATATAAGAAAGGCTAAAGGAAACAACACATTACTTGTAGAAGATTCTGGAGCGTGGCGGCATCCAGAACAGACCATGACAGCAACTCTAAAATCGTGAAAAACGTACAAATCAGCAACATAAACAAAATAATTTTCTAGTTTCAAAATGTACATAGGTCTGATGATGGTCGAAAATAGTTGAAGAAACCGAGGAGGTTTTCGGGTTTTTTGGCTGTCGTGAAAAATTTCTCCATAAGGGAAGCACGAGTGGATCGCATCTTCAGCGGTGGCTTGCTCGAATTATTATTCAAGACGGTTTAAAAGCGCCACAAAATTTCCAGATTTGGTGGTTGAAAAAATCGAAAAACCGCCCAACCAGGATGAGAAAATCGAAACAAATAAACAGCCTAAATAATATGAATATAAAATCAATGGAACAATGGCACTTTTACACCACCAAAGGAATAAAACTGAAACTACAAAAGGGATTATTTTTAAGCGGCCATAAATTTGGCCGAAAAACGCCGATCAATAGCACACTAAAACAATAATTGCCCCATTATTTCCATAAGGTTTACCACTGGTTCTTAATTAGAGACTATTTTGTAAGGGTTTCATCATTTTTCGTTGCCCTAATTCTTCGCAGACTCGCAAATTAATGCTAATTAACTGCAAAAAAATGGTTTTTCTGCCGTTGCTTGCGACTGCACCAATTTTTTCAACTTCTACTACAGCTATTGTGAGCTGGGGATTAGTTGTAAATTTTCACTCCATGAGATAAATTTGTTAGCGAACAAATGGCTTTCCTTCGGATTTATTGGAAATTCGACCTTTCACCTTTGCAACTCGATTTATGCGTACGTCTAGCAGCTGAAGGGGATCAGGTTCCGCACAACAAACTTACGGAGTTTAAAGCCAGAGCATAAAAACCAATAACTGGGGTGTTTGCAGTAAATTAACCTTTAGCTGGATATGGTGGAATAAGTGGAATTCGAGAAGGTTCTTCTGTTCCACAGTTTCTATGGCTTGTCTTAGAGTTTTGCTCTCGCTTATTCCTACTTCTTGCCGTATATTGTGGCGTTTGTTGACTGTTGGCAGGTTTGTAAGTTTAGGGCGAATATTGTTAAATTAAAGCGTTAAATAAAAAAATTCCCTAAGGACCAGGGCCGGAGTTAAAAAAATTGAGGAAAACCCCTCATGTCTTTGGCAAACAGTTACAAAAACGGCGGCGGTTGCTTCACATCTACCTAAGTCACCGACATATGGGGGAATGGAGGATCTTTAATCTGGAAATTGCCCTGTCAAGTCGTAATAAAATTTAATAAAGCTGCTAAAGGAAATAAAGGGGATTTTTTCGGATTTTGATTTAACAACGTTCACTCTGCTTCAAATAAACAATTCGCCAATTAAATAAGCAAACAAATAAAAATTGCAAATTTCGAATTCCACAAGTGTTTACGTCGTTGAATCATCAATGAGCCAAGGAAAATTCAGGGCTGCCAATGAAAATAACACTCGGATGATTTGCGTCTTGTTCGTTTTCGTGTTTGGTTTTGAAACGGCTGAACTTGTTTGTTTTTTTATGATGACTGCGATTTCGATTCGATTTTAAGGTGTTTTATGTGTTTTCGTTTGCACCAGTTTGCGGATTTATTGACGATTTTTTGCATAGCACGTTTCCAGAATTTTGCTCACAAAATGAACAGTCAAGTTTGCCGTACAGATGAGCCTTTTAGCAACAACTTTTCTTAGGGGTGTTTGTTGGCGATGTTGGCGTTTTTCTACCATTTTTTGCTCTTGGAAGTTACAATTTTGGCGGTTTTAAGCTATTATTGCTGCGCTTGTGGAAAGCGTGGGTTGCAAAGTGGAATAACAGAACAAGAAGAAATAACAGAGCGTTTTTAAGAATCCCTAGAAGAGGCAACTGCAATTAGAAAACCTAAAGCCAATCAAAAATGATATTGAAGCCAAATATATGCAGCAAGCAAATTGAAGAATCGTGTCAAGGCACCAGGTTTTTGTACAATAACTGGAGAAATGATGAAGAATTTAAAATAAACGGGAAACAAAGGTATATGCATAATAAAAGATGCGAACGGGAAAAGAAAAGAAAAACACTGCACAGTTTTGTGAAAACAGCCACTACTTCCCAATAAAAGTGTTGAAACACAGCGGAAAACCGCAAAATTAACAAAATAAACCGCAGTGTCGAAAGTCGAACGTAAAAAATTGAGATTGCAAAAATAATTTTTATAATATACCAAAGTGCGAGTAAACATTCATTTAATTTGCTTGAAAGCATTATGTGTGTCATTATCAGATGAGTTATGTATTATGCGAAAGCAAATATTATCATAATTTATTCAGAGTAATCTGAGGCGTATAAATGTTGCATTTGCCAGTCAATTTTATAAAATATTCAACGATTAAGCCGCATCGACGTCTGATGGATCGAGCAGCTGAGTGAAAAGCACATTTTGTCAATATCTTTGTACAATCTCAAAGGGCGTTAGCATGATTTCAAATCAGAAAAGTCCTGGAAAAACGACAAACAAAAAATACATTTAAGATTCGTCATGCTTGGCGACATTTCCATTCAATTGAAATGCCGGAAGCATAAATATCTGATGTACATTAGTGAAGGCAATATGGAACAGCTGAATGCTTGCAAAATAACGACGCAGACATTTTATTTCGTCCAAGAAACGCGTAATCTTGCATATAAAAGTCGAAATTAACCCAGATTCGATCGCCTAAAGCGAAATTTTTCTAAGAGAAGCAGAATACATTTTGTGAAAGAAATCATAAATGAAGCTATTGTAACGATAACAAAAGGAGAGGAGATTATCCGGAACAATGCTGGATAGGGATTCATTTCGTTGCAAATTGGGGCAGCAGCTGTTGGCACTAATCTAGTTGTTGGTGAGTAATTTTCAATTGCAAAATTTACTCGAATTTCCGATTTGGGAACAAATGAAGCTCAACACTCTATCATTGAAGTGAACATGGAAATTCATCCGGGTTGATTTCTGGTGAGAACAACTCCTAAACTGGTGAAACCGAAGTCGTCGACTGCAAAAGTTTTATAACATTTTAGTAGGTAAACAGTAGCGAAGAAAAACGGAGAAGCTGAACGTTAAAAAGAGAATTTTCTACTTCCATTGCGACGAGGCACCATTTTCCATTACTTAAGCGGGTCCACCCTGTTTAGATGTCCCAGATATATCCGGCTTTCCATTATTAATTCAAGTCCTTGACATTTTACATCTAGAGCAATGCACTGTAAGATTTTAAAATAGGTTTGTCGTCCCGCTCGGCCGGACTATGTGGATGCTTTTGCCTAGACGTGATTTAATCAAACAGATTAAAGCATCAAGAGATTAATCGCAAAGAAAAGGA